AAGCCGTGCTGATGCGCCCATGACTGCAACAACCACAGTGAAAATGGTTACGCACGTTTTTATGATGTCACAAGGTAAACGCGATGACTTGCGCAAACAGCAGTGGCTGCACAACAACGGCCGAAAAACTTCGTTCAGACAAAGAACAGTGTCTTTTGCGAGGTAAGGCACCTTTCTTATTGCTCGTACTAAAGCATCACCGAATGCTGCATTTGAAATATTGTTTCAGCCTGCTCATCAACATACGTGTTATTTAGGGGCGAAGCTACTTACGCCGTAGGTCGTATGTCCTGTGTCGTCGTAGTAGCCAGTTGCATTGCATTGGATGTCAATAAAAATGGTGCCACATCATATCCACTGAGTGAATGATGATGAGTGGGACGAAGCGTCCGTCAGTCCGTCCATGTTTCCGTGCGTCCGTGTGTGCGTCCATCCGCCCGTTCATGCCTCCGTCCGTCCGTCTGTGCACCCACCCATCCGCACTCTTCGCCCCGCTCGTCATCATTCACCACGTGGATATGCTGCGACTTTTTTCTCAGCTATTCGTGCGTTGCTTCAAAGTACAGTTATTATCAATATGCTGAATTTCTTTGTGAGAAACAAGAAGAAAGTTGAATCGTTTAACGTTTTTACTGCTAGGAGCCACTGCTAGGAATACGTGCCGTAAACATGATCGATCCTTGGCGCTGTTATGCCTGCGAGTCCACAGCGAACGGCCGTGCCTCTGAAAAAGGCAATCTGTGTCAAGGCCAGTCCGCCTGACGCGATCAACAACTCAACGGCGCCTCTCTGGCGTGCACGTGCAGTGAGTCAGCCTCGGCAAGCGACCCGTCGAGTAAACAACTGGCGTCTTCATGTCTGGGGGTCTGACGCATTGCGCGGCGACCCCATTGGAGGAGTCTGCCCTGACGACCAGCGGCGCTTCTGATTGGACATTTTGGTTGACCCGGTGCAAATAAAAGAAGCCCTGCGGCGCGTCGCGATCGGCGGTCCTAGGTGAAAGCTGACATGTGTGTCAGAGGGAACCCGTTTGAGAGCAGACCTATGTGTTAGAGAGGAGAGCTCGGCTCTTCGAGTCTCTGTCGGCCCCAGTGCCGAATTTGTAATGCCTCTGTATATATGCTGTACATAAACCTTGTTTAACTCACCGTCGTCTCGTCCGCTCGTCTTATCAGCTCTGCGCAAAAGCAGTCGCGAGCTGAGAAACATACGCTACCAAACGGCTGGTGACCTTCCCGGCGGAGTTGGAAGCAGTGGCGCCTTCGGGACCCTGTTGGCGTCGCCGTCTTTCGCAACAGCACCCATATTTGCACAAACGAATGCTTACAAATACAGTTATTTTCCCAGAAGAGTTGAGAGAGAGAGAGAGAGAAAACTTTATTAAAAGGTCAGTCAATTGCTCAGGCATGGCCCGTTGCCCCTAGCTGTCGGCCGGAATTCCTTGGGACGCGGCAGCAGCAAGGGCTTGACTGATGATGTCGCGCTGGACGTTGGGATCTGGGCTGCAGAGCAGGGCCTCCCAGGATTCTACAGTGCGAGAACCATCGTTTTGACTTGGACATGTCCACACCATGTGGACTAAATTCGCTACGTCATCACAAAATATACACTGGGACTGGAAAACTGCGGGGTGCCACTTGCTGTAAAGTGCAGGGTTTGGAAAAACCCCGGTCTGTAACTTTCGCCACAAAATCTCGTTTTTCTTACTTAGTGAGTTGTCCGCTCTCGGGTATACTTGCCGATTCAGCCTGTAGTGTGCGACGATTTCATGGTATGTGCGCATATACTCGCTTCTTTGTTCGGTAACTTGGGAGGTTCCAGGGGTCGACCGGTAGGTGAGACCTCGGGCGACGGAATGAGCCTCCTCGTTCCCTCTAAGTCCTTGGTGAGCTGGAGCCCAGACAAGCAGAATCTGCTCTTTGGGTACTCCTACCATGTTTAATATACGGACGGCAGTCTCCGTCACCCTTCCCGATTCGTAATTTCTCACAGCGTTTTTGGAGTCGCTGATGACCACCCTGATCCCCTTTTGGCTGATGGCCAAAGCTATGGCCACTTCCTCGGCCTCTACAGTCTCGACACCAAGTACTGTGCAGCACGCAATTAGGCCACCATCTCCCCTGACCGCCACTGCCGTGTGTGCCGCTTTGCTTTTATATTCCGCAGCGTCTGTATACGCGACGTCCTGTCGACCAGTGTACCTAGATTGTAATGCCTCTGCCCTGGCTTTACGCCTGCCTTCGTGAAAGTTAGGGTTCATATTTTTTCGGCTGAAAATTTTGCTATGTCGCTAGAACGTTATCTACTTGGTGATTAGAGTTTTCAAATGTGTTATGAATTTCGTTGCTATTTCACAGACATGTGACCTCTGTTAGCGTATGAATAGATCTTTTTTTTTTTTGCACTGTTACGAATGACTTGATGTTTCGCAGGCCCCTCCTGCCTGGACCAAAATGCTGGTCTGCAGTATGTCTAAATAAATAAACAGAATAAATAAAAATATTCAGCTCATAGTTCTTCACCTCGCACGCGCCTCGGCAATCGTCGAAAATGCACGATGTGACACATCGTCGCACGATGTGTCACAATCAATGCGCGATGTGCGAACGATCTGACGATACAGCTTCTCGATCGAGCTTTTGGTGACTTTTAGGCTTCCTTTACAAGAACGCTTGTTGGAGAAAACAAATGAACGAATGAATAAAGATGACACAAATTGGCGCTCGTTTCTATAAGGGTATTTGCTTTTTGAAGGGTGGAATTAACACACAAAAACCATGAAAGAGATGCCGTCCATCGAAAGAAATAAAGAAATACACAGGCACAACAACAAAAAAAAAGAAGCCATAGCACGGTGATAGCGAGTGAGCCATTTTCTAGGAGACCGTGGCCGCAATCGTTTTGGTCACGCCTGGTCATGTCTTCCATTCCCCAGTAAAAAACTATATTATCTTTTGCACTAGTGTCACATGGGTACCTGTGACCGGGATCAGTCAGTTCGAATAGTATTTTTTGGTCGCTATCGACGCGCAAACTATGACATTCCTGGTGCAGATTTTCTGCTCTCACAAGTAACCCGATCGCTAGTTTCTTTGACAAAAACGTGAAAACACAGTTCTTGATAATAATTTTCTTATGTTTCTGTTATTGTGGCAGATCAGACACGGTTCGCGACCCTTAATCGTATTGACATTGCTCAAAGGCCTTCCTTCAGCTCGGAGACCACTGCGCAAGGCTACTTTCACGCGGAGAAGGTGAACACATGGCTAAACGATCCACCATCCACGAAGTCATAGAAATATGTGACGCTGTAAGTACCTGTGTCCTATACTGGCGCACAAGCACAAAAAAAAAAAAAAATCCGAACACAGACGGACATATCACAAGCGGAACTACATCAGATGCAAACGTACAGCATGTTTTATCATCCGGCAGAAAAACATCCGCATTGTGGAACGCCCCTTAAAAACTTTTAAGTAGCATGCCACACTTATACGACTTTTGGAAGAAGCTATTCCTTTAATAAACGGTTGCCTCAGTGTTCCCGATTTTATTATCACCATTTAAAAAAAAAATTCTGCACTACTGTTACTAGTACACTCTACTACTGTTGCGCGCAAGCTGCCGCAAAAAAAACACCTCCATTGAATTCTGCGGCGCCCCCGTGGGAGCGTCGGCGAAAAATGGCGCCGCGCGTGCGACAAGTGGGCGAGAAGAATCGAGGAGGAAACGCGCGCATAGAGGAGAGTGTTGTTACTTTCCCAAGATCAAGGGGCTTTAGTTTAACCAGGTGAAAATAGAAGTTTTGAACCACTTGTGCCATTCCTCATAGGAACATCCGGTTGGTTTTTATTCTATAAATGAAAGAGAAAAGAACAAGGAGCGTTTTATTACATCCCTTGATGCACGGAAGGTTCTTTTTTATATTGCAGCTCGTTTGATTACTAGTGATTAATTGTAGTCGGTTGCACTGGCGTCATCGGGATCATTTAAAAACCAACTCACTCGTGGGGCCGTCGTGTGAGAAAAATACCTCGGTAGATAGGGCGGAGCTGTTGATAACGTTGCCATTTTGGACGTCGTATATTTATATTTCACTCTGACATAAATTGCTATTTGACTTTAGTGTCCCTTTAAACCATGGTACCCATTACACAGAATGCAGCCATATGCGAAATGATCACTGCCACAAGCTAATTTCAAATTTATTGATTACATTGTGGTAATGCACAATTTAAACTTATTGAGTAATGTCATACAATATAAAGTATGCACTAAGTGGTTGAAGTGTGAACCAAGGACAGCATATCGCTATTGCGTTCAACTTTTAAAGGAGAAGCTTAAGGGTTTTGACTTGATGTTTTGTCCTTACTGCACGCAATAGTGGTTACGGACACCGGCAATAGTGGCGGACAACTACGGCACCAGAATCTACCTCATAACAGCTTTTGCTGTAAAGTATCCAGGATCGAATGGGGTTCGAACCTGAGCCTTCTTCATGGCAGACCAGCATTTTAGAACTGAGCCACGCTAATGCTCATAACTCCTTAGCTAGAGCCGATAGAGGCCTTATGTCAGGAACAAACCACATTAGCATATGCAAAATAGTGTTGTAAAAGCATGAAATAACCAGGCATCACAAACACAAATTACAAAACGAGTGGGTCGTTGAATGCCCCGCCCGTTACAGAGGTCTCAGCAGTAGTTATTTATCATCATCAACCACTGCATCAAAAAAGAACACATAGCGCCTTGCAAAGTTGTAGCAGGTACTTCACAAATGGTGTGATGGGTGGTTCCCAACTTCACAAAACTTAGGATTTATGGTGTAGCGGATACTTTGCAAGCTCGCTTGTATTAGTAACCTCAAGAGGGTTTACAAGAGGTTCTATAAATGTCGCTCTTATAGCTTTCCCAGTGACTGTGCAATACTTTCTATGCAGGCCTGGCTTTCTTCATATTGCTGGGCTTCAGTTGGAAATAAACGAGATGCTAAGAAGTTTCACGTGGGTGCTTGTCACTTGTTTTTACTTCGCTTTGGTAATGGTTTTTTGGAGGTAGAGCTAGATGAGGAGGACGTACTACTACTACTACTACTGCTGCTGTTGCTACTGCTGCTGCTGCTACTGCTACTGCTCGATGAGCTGTCACTGCCTGATGAGCTGCTGCTGCTTGATGAACTGCCACTGCTTGATGAAGTACTGCTGGAATCTGACTCATTTCCACTGTGAGACTCCCCATCTGATGCACTGGAGGATTTCTCGGAACTTCGTCGGGCGGGCTGTACAGGTTTCTTGCTGCAATGGAAGTGGGACAGTTCAAAGCACATATGTAACTTAAAGCACATTAAATAGATACTTCAGAGGGCTCAACATTTTATGCTCTACAGGACTATGAATCTTGTCTGATATATCAGTTCTCGTGAATATGACTTGATTTTGTTCGAATTATCAGTTTGATAAATATGAATTGCAGGTAACATACAAATGTGTGTAGTAATGAAGTACTCGCATATAGATACTTGCTAGCCAGCCTTCAGTAAGCTCGATAGTTTGTACTCGGTGGGTTCACAGGATTTTGTTTCAATTATCGGCTGTCATATAGGACTTGGGGCAATATATAATTGTAAGTTCCAAAGGAATATTTATATATAAATAGTTGCCAATCAGGGAACCACTGATTTTGGTAGCTTTATAATGTGCAAAGGGGAAGGTGCTGCCACAAAAGCAACTAGCACGTGGTTTCATTTAGTGCTTCTCAGTGCCATAGTAACATCATGGACATTACTAAAGGACTGCCAGTAAAGTTTTTGGATGTTGGCAACCGTACTATTATTCGTTATATGGCGTGTGCATGCATGCGTAATTGAGGAACCAAATGCCCTGTCTTGTGAAGACTTGCAGCCCTAACCTAAGACACCAGTGCACTGAGGCATAAGTGATTTAAGTGTTACGCACATGATAGACCAAGTCCAGGTCGTCCCTTTTTTGTTTCTTTCATGCTAAATCAACACACCATTGTTGATGCTGCAGTTTGGCTAGTTTGGCTGCTCTGACACATGCAGGCAGGCAATTGGCTTTATTTCTGGCCGTTAGTGACATTGCACATTTTATCATCACCAAGTGGAAAAGGCAGCAGATATTATTCTAGCAAAGAGTTAATTAACCGAATTGATGCAATGAAGCAATTTGAATTGAGCAGATTTAAAATAGATCGAAAATATAGCTGACCAATGAAAATTTTCAAATTTGTTTGAATTAGCTGAAAGTTTGAATGTGAATTACGTGAAAGTGGAAAAATGCCAACTGTGGTATGCAGCATATAAAAAAGTATGTGAAAGTGTATTTTGCAAATATACCGATGGGAGGCACTGAAAAAAAACAAGCATGACCCTTTCACACACATGCGGGTATAGCACTGGCCATTGTGACACCACCTTTGCCATGCATTTTGTCATTTTAACACCAATCAATCTGAGTATCGTGTCTTGCTTCTCTTGGCACGAACTAACCGATAATTTCCAAATGTACCTCAACTGAAAAAAAAAAGAAATTATTGGTGTGGAAAGAGGCAGGTCAAAGTACATGTGGCAAAAGTTACTGCAGTCTACATGGAGAAACTGAAGATTCAAATGAAAACTCAAGTCATTGTGGTGTACTGTCATTGTTGATTGATTGATATGTGGGGTTTAACGTCCCAAAACCACCATATGATTATGAGAGACGCCGTACTGGAGGACTCCGGAAATTTTGACCACCTGGGGTTCTTTAACGTGCACCCAAATCTGAGCACACGGGCCTACAACATTTCCGCCTCCATCGGAAATGCAGCCGCCGCAGCCGGGATGCGAACAGCGTACTGTCATTGTTGCACAGACAACTCGGTTCTTGAATAAATGCGTGAAATAGGTCACTAACACAAAACACTTGCCAGCTGCTGAGTAAGCATGTCTTGCCTTTATGCAGCTTAGCATTTCACTGTCTCAATTAAGTCAAAGCAATATACAGATTCACAAATTCCAGCGTGATTGTGCTTTCTTAAAATGACGTGCAGTTCTGTAACCATCAGCTCAATGAGCACTGCACTCCACACGAGATTCATATCATGCTACATCGAACTTCTTTATCATTAACTTGAATGTGGTCACCAACCTGATGTCATACTGCTTTGTCACATGTGACGTATTTGCACCAAATGCAAAGAGTTTCCAGGTCTAGCCGACTATACAAAGTTTTTATGTTCAAGAGATATTCAACAGTCACTATTCATTTACTTCCTTATTCAACTGGGCTCCAAAATTCCACTCTTCACACATACGAACTATTGTCTATTGTTTTACATGTTCTTAAGATCATTAGCAATAGAACGAAAAAGCAGAAAAAAGAGAGCTACGAGATGGGTTATAATTATTGGAGTTAAACGTCCCAAAACCTCCATATGATTATGAGAGATGCCATATTGAGGGGCTCCGGAAATTTCAACCACCTGATGTTCTTTAATGCGCAGTTAAATATAAGCACACGTGCCTACAACATTTCCGCCTCCAACGGAAATGCAGCCGCGGCAGCCGGGATTCAATCCCGCGACCTGCGGGTCAGCAGCCAAGCACCTTAGCCACTAGACCACTGTGTCGGGTAGCTAAGAGGTGGATGTGTTCAAAGACCGCACATAATCATCACACAAAGCAGTGCTAGGATATTGGCCCTGTTTTTGAGTATATCAGCTGTAGCATTTTCTGCAAATCTTACTGGCATCTATGCAACATTGATTGCAGTTTCCCACTTGCTGATAAACTAATTTATTCAATGCCCTGGTAAAAGCTGCGGCTTCACCCGACATAATACATCCTTGCAGACTACTTCTTGTGCATTTCCAGCACAGACCGGGTGGAATGTTGGTCTTCAACTTATTTTTTTTTATTTGTCCTGTGCCTTTTCTCTTCTCTCATTTTTATTTTTTATGCACTGAAAATGAATGACAAGTATACTTTCCAATTAGCCCAGCTTTCTGCTTTAAATTGTTGGAAACGAGAAAGGACACTAAATAGAAAATTGAATTATACATGCACTGGTAGACTTGGGAGCACAGTCACATGAGTAGCGCTTTAACATGTGAACACAGTGCAATGCGCCAAAGCTAATTTTTACTATGATAAACAGGCCTGCAAACAATTAAAAATTTTCATTTCACTGAACCAGCGCACTATGGAGCATGATGAACCTTTTGTGTGTTGACCCTTAGTTAGCTGTGCACCCCAGCTAAGAAACTCAATTCAACGTAACCAAGAAATATGCATACGAGATAAGGCAACTGCTGCGCAATCATGAAATATTAGAAAGTGTTCCACATTTAAGCGATAGTTTGGGTTGAGGTCCCCGGTCTCCGCTAATCATAGGGCACAAAGGCCGCCACGATAAGCATTACGATTCCCTTTAGTCTCTCTTTATTTATACATCTTTAGAAATGAACGTTGTTTTATTTTTATTTATTAAAATTTTTTAAAACATTCGTTGGTAACGTGCAGTATTTGTATGACACGAAGTCACCGCCTGCTTGTGCTGCGTTGTTTCACCGCGTAAGTACACATGGGCTTAAGTGAACGTTATATCGCGATCGAATTTCTCGGTCCCGATTGACTCATTAGCGCCAAAGGCGCGGAAAACTGTCGAACATGGTCCAGAGGCTCAGTCCGGATCGTGTAGATGACAACCGAGACTATACGCCCTGCGTCACTCTTATTATTTGTCTTGCTATGCTGCAAATTCAATCCAGCTAGGCGAAACCAATGCGGAGTACGTACAGTTGCATGGTGCTCCCAAGGAGTTGCTTCTTCACGTTGTTCTTGAGAAGTGTAGTCCTCGAATCTCTGTGCACGTATTTGCGCTTCCCGGTGCACTGATACGTCCAGTGGCCCAGCTCCAGGCACTTCTGACAGCGCACGCCGGACAGGTTTTCTCTAAAATGAAAAAAAGAAAAGAAAAACGAGACCGAAGTCCATCGGAAGCTCTGGGCAGTGTTTGAAGGGAAGCAAAAAAGTGCACTTACACTTTCTTTTTAAACGGCATATTGGACCGCAAGCAGCACGAACAGGCCACTGACAACAGAAGCGTTGAGGTTGCGTGCTTGCGGTCAGTCAAGTCGGGAAAACGCCGGCTTGCGCCTCCAAAGAAACGAAAGCTACACGCTTCTGCGCGAAACGTCAAAAGGCGCAACCATGTTTGTTTTGGTGCACTAGAGAAAACGATTCAATAACCCAATGAAGTGGAATGTGGAGTACCTGGAGTAATTTGCTATTACGCCTCCCAGAAACTAAACTATGCTCGCGTTTATAGCGTGATTTTATGGAACGACGTTGGCCTCTGAGATAAAGTCAGAAGTATTAATCTCGGAGGCTCATTATAATAAAAACCTATAAAGATTGACGTTGGTTTTGACGGTCAAGAAGTTTAACTTATAGTATAAAACTTTGTTATACTGGTGAATTGCAGCAGCGAGTGTGTGGTGTCATAGCCTCCTAGAGAAATCTAGGAGGCTATGTTGGTGTGCACTAAAACTCAGCCGCAGTGTGGCGCAGCGCTGCGTCATGGCGGCGCCATTTTTGAGGTTTTCACGCAGCAGACGACCCATGCTGGGTGCAGCGTAGCAAGTTTCCTCTGCCTTTGTGTATGACCGGGCAGCAGTACGTTGGTGCTGTGTGTTGATAACGTAACGAACACAACATATCCTTTCTCTCTGCCGATATACCGCCAGCTACGGCTGTGAAAGGTGCTGCTCGGTGACTACGTAAAGTCGCTGTCTGACCGAGTGCCCGATGGGTACATCATTAAAGTGGCGAGATCCCTTGGCGCTATCCAACGACTACTTCACGAAAGATGTCAGTTCTTATCCTAGTGTACACGGTACGTGCTGATATCATCAGCTCTCCGGTTCACAGGTACGCCAGCAGCGGTTTCGTGAAGCAACCTCGTGTGAATCTCTTCGTCGTGGTCGCGGCAAAGGTAGGCTGTACTACGTTATGTAGCGTATGCCAGTGATTTTACGGTTTTCGCTAGCTATCCGTAAAGTTAACGATAAGACAAGTAATCAATCGCTGATGTGGCGCCCAGCCTATCGCACTTTCCTGCTGCTGTTCACTAGATAAATACCCAAGTTATTGTTGTTGTTGTTGCCCCTTCGCACTGGCACATACCCACTATGGGGGATTGGCCATGAAATCTAGAAGTATCCTATATGAGATATATTAAAAGGTTTATCCTTAATGAAAAAACTAATGATGTAATAGAAAATAATAATTAACTAAAAAGGAATATTAAACTAAACAAATAATTGAAGATTGAATCAAGAAGAGAAAAGGTGAGGTAATACCCAAGTTACCGATATGTACTTCGTCTTTTTCGCGCCTAAGGTCATGCTCGCAGTATCTAATCGCATAACAAAAAAAAAAAAAAAAAAAAACTGGCAGATCCCACGTACAGTGGAAATTTATGATACGCGAAGCACAAATGAGAAATGTTGATATGCCACTTTAAAATTAGCACAACGTTACGAGGTGGATGTAAATGATGCCGTACATGACTTCCGTGTCATGATTATCATGTTTGGATGTGTCGTTTACCTTCATCTATTCACGTCACGTGATACCAAACTTAGTATATGTGGAGCTAGCGAAACGGCCGTGAGCACGCCATCAGCGTGGTATGTTGTCACATTCTTATATTACACGCGTGTCAGGATTATCATGTTTGCACCAATCATATTTCGTCATCCATTGACGTCACGTAACACCAAATTTGGTATATGTGGAGCTAGCAAAACGGCCGCGAGCGCATCATGAAGGGCCCAATATACTCCGATGTAGCGTTGACGCGCGCGCATGCTGGACACAGCGACGCTACGTTAGCAAAATGTGAGCGCTCTATAGTCTGACGCCAACGTTGGGCGCGACCAGCGTCCGTCGGCGCAGCCCGACGGCAACCGGCGCGAAGTGCGACATGCTGCATTTCGGCATTTCGCGCCGATGCGTTACCCAGACAGTAATGCGTCTCCCCCTTTTTAGATGCGGAAGCATCTTATACTCGCGCCTTGTAGTGCGCCGTCCGCGCCGTCCGCACCGCTTCTCGAACATTCGACAGCTGACGCGCGCGCATGCGCCGCCGCGCCGTCTCCTCCTTCTTCCACCATCTGTGCATCCCTTCCTCCTCTACACACCGCGCGCGCTTCACTCCTCCACCATCTGTGCACCCTCCCTCCTCTACACACCGCGTTCGACATCTACAATTCTCCTGATTCTCCAGTGGACGCGCATGCACCGTCGCGCTTCGAGAACATTCAACAGCTGACAGTGCATGCGCCGTCGCATTGTATATATATATACTCAAGGTCGGCGCTCGCTCGCTCAGTTGCCGCTCGTCGGTTGGTTTGTACGGTTCGTCGACGTCCAAGGTCGCGGTGAAATGAATTCCAACGAATCCACAAACACAATGATCGACGTCCCTTCGACCAGCGCCGCCCTTTCACATACGTGGGTACGTGTTCACTCATTTAACACCCCCTCCTACAACCACGTTAACCAATTTAGCCATCGACCCAAGTAAGTCGCAATTTAACACCCCATTTCACAACCACGTTAACCAATTTAGCCATCGACCCCAAGTAAGTCGCACTTTAACACCCCGTTAACCAATTATGTGCTCCGCATCCTCCTCAGTGTTCCCCCGAGGGAAGCTGCGGGCAATTTTTTTTTTTTTGTTGTGACGTAGGGATGCCGGACGCGCTGAAACGCGCATGTGTCAAAGCAATGCAGTGCAGCGTCCGCCTGCGATAAATGGCAGGACCGGCGCCTGACGTGGCAACGCCGGCGTGAAGCGACGAAATGAATGACGGCAAGCACGCGCACCGCGTCACGTCGAAATGTATTGGCGCCTTAACTGTGGCATGTAGTCATGTTCTCTCATTGCACGCACCTGATGTATATGATGTTTGCACCAGTCACATACCTCCGTCATCCATTGACGTCACGTAATGCCAAATTTGACATATGTAAATCTAGCGAAACGGCCGCAAGTGTATCATCAGTGTGGCATGTAGTCATGTTGTTACATGACACGCATCTCGTGATTATCATGTATGGATGTGTCATTTGCCTATGTCGTCCGTTCGTGTCGCGTAATACTGAGTTTGGTACATGTGAAGCTAGCGAAACGACCTCGAGCGCACCATGAGCGTAGCATGTAGTCAGGTTGTTACATGACACGCATCTCATGTTTATCATGTTTGCACCACTATCATACCATCGTCATCCATTCACGTCCCGTAATACCAAATTTTTTATAAGTGAAGCTAGCGAAACGGCCGCCAGCGCATCATGAGCTTGGCATGTAGTCATGTTCTTACATGACACGCATGTCATGATTTTCATGTTAGGGTCTGTTGCTTGTGTTCGCCATGCAATCATGCCATACCATACCTGTTTTGCAACATGCCATGTGAACGAAACCACCGCAAGAGCAGCAGGACCATGAAATATAAATCATGACATACGTGTCATGATTTTCATATTACGACTAGTCAAATGTGTTCTTCATACAGTCATTTTATGTCATACCAAGTTTGGTATCGATACCATTATTGAAACGGCCAGGAGAGCTAAAAGTTGTAGGCGGCTAGATAGATAGATACGCTCAAAGTCGCGAAGTTCGCTAAGAAATGCTTCGCATTTAAAAAGCCGAAGCAAGGTGCGTGCGTGTGCCCCGCCGCGGTGGTCTAGTGGCTAAGGTACTCGGCTGCTGACCCGCAGTTCGCGGGATCGAATCCCGACTGCGGCGGCTGCGTTTCCGACGGAGGCGGAGATGTAGGCCCGTGTGCTCAGATTTGGGTGGGTGCACGTTAAAGAACCCCAGGTGGTCGAAATTTCCGGAGCCCTCCACTACGGCGTCTCTCATAATCATATGGTGGTTTTGGGACGTTAAACCCCACAAATCAATCAATCAAGGTGCGTGCGTGCGTGTGTGTGTGTTTACAGCTGAAGCGAGAAAAATTAAGCACCGAAACGAATTCGTTCAATGTGCAAAGAGTATAAAACGTACCTTTGACCTGCGGTCTCAGTTACGTCGCACAGACGCCTTCGTGTGAGATTACTTGAACACATCCGGAAAGTAACTGATTGATTGATATGTGGGGTCTAACGTCCCAAAACCACACATATATGATTATGAAAGTGGAGGGCTCTGGAAATGTCGACCACCTGGGGTTCTTTAACCCTTTAATGCCTGAATTGTGAAACTGCCGAGCAAAATAAAAAAAAAACTGCTTCCATTTTCCAGCTTTAATTAGCAACCTTTAAATGATTCCGCAGTTAAGTGAACTAAAATGGGATTTTAATGCGCACTTTTGTGTATGTCGCCCATTCTCCATATGCCAGAGAAGCGAGGACCTTGCAAAAAAAAAAAAGTCTTCCAGCACTACGTAAAATGTTGTGTGCCACCTCTTGAGCGCGTACGCACCAAATAAACAAAATTATTGAATATAAAACTTACGTCACGAAGGCGAGAAAACAAGCAAAAACGGAGAGGTGTCGCACGTGTTTCGCGCGCTCTGCTATCAGCTACAAAACATTTGGTTCTAGCTTAAAATAGCTTAGCCGAGACAGCGCTAGAATTTTCATGCTGAAAGCTTCATGCCCCGTGAGTACTTGACAGCCGGCATTAAAGGTGGCACGCATTTCGCGACTTACTTGCTCGAAGTTTTCCAGTATGTCGCGAATTCGTGACATCCGACAGTAAAGAATTACCGTGCACAAAAAAAAAAAAATCCGAGCACACGGGTTTACAACACTTCCGCCTCCATCGGAAATGCAGCCGCCGCAGCCGGGATTCGAACCCGCGCCCTGCGGGTCAGCAGCCGAGTACCTTAGCCACTAGACCACCGCGGCGGGGCGTTTTTAAACCCTTTAGTGGCTGAATTGTGAAACTGCCGAGCTAAACAAAAATTTGCTTTCATTTTCCAGCTTTAAATAGCAACCTTTAAATGATTCCGCAGTTTAATGAACTAAAATATAACTTTAATGCGTACTTTTGTGTATGTCGCCAATTCTCCACATGCCACAGAAGCGAGGACCTTGCAAAAAAACAAAAATGTCCTTCAGCAACACGTAACATGTTGTGTGCCATCTTTTGAGCGCGTACACACCAAATAAGCAAAATTATTGAATATAAAACTTACGTCACGAAGGCGAGAAAAAAAAAGGCCTTGAATCTGCATGTTACGCTGC